AGAGGCCTTCCGATTGTAGCAGTATCCCTACTGTGTTGGATTGTTACAGGTAAAATAAATAAAAGCCTACCTTCCAAATTGTTAAGATTAATGTAAAAGACAGAAAAGTGGAGGAGTCTTTTACTTTTGAATTTGTTGTAAATCGAGGTTTTGACTCTGTTAGGATTTTTTTTCTGAAGCAAAGACTTCCTCTGCCGTAAAAAGGAGGACAATTCAGTTTTCCAGAATACCAAACACTAATAATTTAATTCTGGATGTAACGCGTTATTTGATTGGATAAAGAATTTATTTTATATCCTCTTACATAAGTTGCCTACGTCACACGATATTATATGACTGCCGTCACGAGAAAAAGGCCCTTAAGGTCAAATTTTCATAAATTTACTTTTTGGTAAATTTTGATAGCCGGACTCTTTCTGAATGCAGATATACTTAAATTTTGAAAATATCTCACTTTTTCAGTATTTTAGACGCATTTTAGTAAGACGCACCAAAACAACTTTGACGTTGCTCACGGAAAACATAATGACGTCGACTGCGTCTAATTCAATTTTCAAAAAATCTTAAAATAACGCTATTTAAATACCCTCAATCGTTTTGAGAATTATCAGCTCGATTAAATATTTAATTTTTTCTTCCAGGCGACTAGTACGTTACTATTCCTAAGGGATTTCTTATGTTATTACTATTTTCATACTATTTTAGAACAGCTACATGTAGTAATATCGTTAAAGGGGGGGGGGGGGGTCTAGACAGAATCTAGTAACGGTTTATAATATATATTCAGTAGGAAAAACAATAAATTCATACAAATTATTCTTTTTATATAACATAATCTAACTCAATTTATAAAAAATATATAAAGTAGTTAAACACTTAAACATTAAAAGAGAGAGAGAGAGAGAGAGAGAGAGGGGGGGGAATCCAAGGACACCGCGCGCAAAATGGGGCATCCCATCGCAAAAAGCACATCGATCCCGATATTAAAACGAAAATAATAATTTTCTTATGAGTCATCAAAACTCATCATTCACTCACCATCACGCAGGAACGTATTTTTATTCCCTATAACTGTTACGATATCATAGGATAAAAACTCCATATACAATATGTATTTTCTGTATCACCGAAAAATGAGAAATAAATTCAGATACGCCAAAATACATGTATGTAAACTTGTTTTTAAAAATGTTTATTCCGTTTATAAAAAATCATGAATGCATGAATTCATGTTCGCTACTTCCATGCAAGCAGATTTTCTAAAGTTTACTTTTTTGAATATTCTATTAAAAATGTTGAAAGCACTAAGTTTCCATTGTTTATACAATTTATATCTTCGCCTGTATTAGTTATGGAGTATAGAAACATAATAAAGAGGCAAATAATGTCAAAGGATTGTTTTATGAATGGTTTATATACCGTACCTTAAATTGAAACTTTCTTTGAACTTATACATAAAATTGAAACTGTCTATTAATTTCTAACTTTTAAATTAAATCACAATAAAAATCGTTCACAAATATTTCTGCACATTCACTTTTTTGGGTTTAATTTTGAGGTACATGTACCCTGTTTCACTGGAACATAACACTTGTATATTTTTTACAAGGACCTCTACTGTGATCTAAAAAAATTATGTATATTGTATAATTTAATAAGAGATGGTTAAATGTAATGTTCTTGTCTCTTTTACATATACACACAAAACGGTGCTTGACTTTTCTGTGCGAAATTATGGTTCCATTACAATTTTGAAGAAATTTATTTGAAACTGAATGAATATATTTTTATGCAATAAAGGAAGACCCGTAGAAAGCCATTTCAGTTGTGTGTGTGTGTGTGTTGGGGGGGGGGGGTACAGCTATATTTTTTTTTCAGTTGTGGGTACTTTCAGCTACCAAATATTTCTTAACAAGCAAAAGTAAAGTTTTTACGGCCAGGAAAGGTCATCTATTCCTCTTCCCCCGTGACATTAGCTAATCTGACACCTAATGAAAGCTTTTCACATTTCGATGCGATTGTCGTAACCAATATTGAAATATTACGTCCAACCTACGTTTATGCTTTTTATATTAGGCGATGCGGTTAAGTAATAATCTACCGCTCTAATCCATTTTTTTCTGAGTTATTAGTTCAAAACATACTACTTTCTCTGTATATCGAAATAAAAAAAAATATATATATATATGACTCGATTTCGCCTGTCCCCTACAACTCAGTGACGTAGCATCGTTTGAAAAGAGGGTGGGGGACAGCCAGAATAAATATTCAATTTACCTTTAAAAAAAAAACTTGTCAACCAAAAAGTGGGGATTGTCCAAACTCGAATCCAATTTCGCCGGTTGGGGGAGGGGGGGGGGTAGGTTTAGACTTCTTCCAGTATCCATTTTTCTAAGTCAAACAAAATACACTGCTTTTTTTCCTATTGTGCACTAATTTGTTTATGCTGCAACAAAAAAAGGAGGGGGGGAACCAGACTTCCCACGTAGCCCCCCTCCCCGATGCTACTTGCGTGCCACTGTAATATAGACCATATTTTTCTTTCAATGCAGAAATATTTGAGTTTGTTTATTAATTCCTTTCCTTAGAGTCATTTTAGGATTATGTTTTTACCATGGGTGGCACTGTAGCGCTCCGGTCTGCCGGTTTTTTCGGAAAATTATACTTCTTCAGCTTTCTTTTCGCTTAATCTATAGTGTGTTTTTTTTCTGATTAAAAAAAAATCCTTATTCATAATATCACTGTCGATGTAATATTGTTAATTTCTTCAAAATTAAGTATAAGGTTTTGGGGAAAAGTCTACAGTGGCTGTGTTAAAATTCCTAAACATATTGCAATTCAGTTTCGAGTAGGATTTCATTCATTCATTTCATCGGAACAATTTAAGGAAATTGAAACTATTTATTGGATCATTTTAAATAAGTTTTTGAAACAAAATTTATTTTCTGCAAAATTTTCATGGCATCCCCATTCTCCCTTTTTTTTCTCTCCCCCCCCCCCAAGCATATTCTCTTTCTATTTATTTAGTATAGAATTATTTATTGTTGATGTAGAAGGTCTAATTGGATCTCCCATGTTATCAGAATATACATCCAGTCAAAGAGGGGTTATGTTTTTTAGCTTTAACTTTAAACGGTTGTCTTTGTATTTGGAGATTTTTTTGGCTTGTCTTTTTATCCCCCCTTTTTTTACACACATTTTAAAATTGACAGTTCACAGTGGGCTGGCTACCGGGGAACATAAATATCATTCACTATGGATTAAAATTAAAATGGCTAAATACATTTTTAATTATGGTATATATTTTTCAGAAAAAAGAAGCGCTTATAAGAACGGTAATACTAGAAGTGCATAGACCTCTCGCTCGCTCTTTCTCTCTCTCTCTCTCTGAAAAAAGTACAATATCATGTGTATGGAATATACCTTTTAATATTAAGACTTCTTAACATGAATTCAAACTTAAGCATTTGGAAATTTCTCAAAAAACAAATACGCAGCATCTTTAATTTAGTCATGAATAGACATCGTTTTAATCGCCGTTCCTAGCAATGTGCATGTCCATCAACATCAAGTTAAATACTTAAACAGAATTATGAATAAATTCACGTATTAAATAGTAATAATATCATACTGTATACCTATTAAATATGTCCGCATCAAGTTTCAAGTTTTTGTTACACTTTGAAATCCAATTTTATTTCTAGATCACGAAACGCAGTTGACAATTTTTCTTTTACTTCCGTGTTTACCGCAACTTTGACGTCGTTTTCTGAGCATTGTGACGTCAAAAGATACGGGCCCTTTTCTCATGACGGTAGTCATATGTCAAACGTATTTACGTTACTTTTAATATATGCTCAGTCTGAAACCATTTTTTGGGGGGAGAAAAAATATCTTATCGTCTAGACTGAAATTAAATGATACAGAATGAAGCATATTTCAACCTATGTTTTACTCTATATCAAAATGTAGGACTACGCGCAAATTGCCTGAAGTTATGTATTATTGTGTAACATAGGTTAAAAAGACAGTTTATTCCTTAAATATTATTACTGAAATTATATCGTATTTACCATGGCTCATTGACGTGTATTGAAGTACATGAAACTTTATATAATTACATGACTCTTTATAAAATGTGAAACAGGTAAAATTGTGGGAGTGGGAATATCTTAAAGTTAAAAACATAATCTTGAAAACATATGACAGTTTTGATCGCCATTAATTCGGAACCTTTGAAATGTTACCCTGGAATTTCCGGATCCGATGTCTTGAGATGCTCCCCGGATTGTTGAATGCTAGTGGTCTGGTGTTTCCTTCCACAAAGAACCGACGTCCATGTTGAATTCTAGTGACTTTTGTCATCAGCAGGGGGCTCACATGGTCGTCCTAGACTCGGAGGAGAAAGAAAAAGTACTCACCAAATATATTGAAAGTAAGAGATCAGGAGTGGATGTAAGTTAAAAAAAACCCAGAAAACGAAGATTTTTATTTGTTAATTTCTGGCTGCTGTAGTCGAAACGTCATTATACGATGAATTAAATTTATATATAAAAAAAAATAATTATCTTACAACCTGAACCATATAATAGTGTCTAGGTTTAAAATCTAATTTATGTTAACACTCCTGAATCACTTACTGCTGAGACGATAACATGCATTAAATTGCCGTGTAGATCTAAGGTTACATAACCATTATACACATATGTAAGAGGAAAATTGCTTGGGATTCTTATAGTCAAGTTTATACTGGAAATAAAATAATATATTTTTTGTCGCTTCAGAGATGAATTTTTTGAACATATATCAAGAAAGAAATGTAAGTATGAGAGAGAGAGAGAGAGAGAGAGAGAGAGAGAGAGAGAGAGAGAGAGAGAGAGAGAGAGAGAGAGAGAGAGAGAGAGAGAGAGAGAGAGAGAGAGAGAGAGAAAGCTGACCTTGAATATATTTTAAAGATAAACGTGTTTTTCATTAAATTCTCAGAAATGCTTTTGCTCTGAATTCACCAGCTGCAGAAACGTAGTCCACTCGAAAGTAAATTGACTTCTGTACAAGAATATGTGGTTCTCTGGTTTATCTGTTCAACTTTTCCTTTATCTCTGCCACAGTCTTCTAACGCGCTGAACCTGCATCATTCTACCACATCAACAAAAATTTATTATATTAACAAGAACTTTATCATAGTTAATGGAACTCGTTTTCATTAACAGGAACTTGATTACAATAAATGGGACTCTTAAAATGAAAGAAATTCTATGACACGAACAGGAACTCGATTAAATGAACCAGAACTCTATAACAATAATAGGAACCCTATTACATCAACAAAAACTCTATTACAATAAAAGGAATTCTATTACAAAAACTCTATAAATGAACAGGAACTCTATTACATCAACAAAAACTCTATTACAATAAAGGGAATTCTACTACACGAACTCTATTAAATGAACAGGAACTCTATCACATCAACAATAACTCTATTACAATAAAATTAATTCTATTACAGGAACACTATTACATGAACAGGAACTCTATTATATTAACAGGAACTCTATTACATTAACACTAACTCTATTACATTAACAGGAACTCTATTATTATCATTGGAAATTCTCTACTATCATTGGAACTCTGTTACATTTATTGGAATACTATTACATTAACAGGAACTCCATTATTTTAACAGTAATTCTATTACATTAACAGGAACTCTATAAGATTGCTCAGAGGGAATGGGACATTGAGGCTGAGAAGAAAAACTGTAAGTATTAGTGTTCACCAACAGCCTGATAGGAGAGATAACTCTTACTATAATGAGTGTTTGTTTGTTGCTTTTATTTTTAAAGAAAAGGATCAAATGAAATGTCCTTGTCTGTCAGTTTGTACATATTTTAATCATAAATTAGATTTTTATAAGAAAATGTCTCTAAAAGTAAAGGAAATACAGATAAAAATGAATCAGATACAAGTAAAATGCCTTATTTACATGTAATGATAAGTTTGATAAAAGTCTACCTCTCAAATAAAGAAGGTGATAATACACACTTAAATTGTCAGAGTGCTTCCATGGATAGACACTTTAAACGTTTGTTATGCTAAAAAGATATTGTTTTAACCATTTTTGGTTTTTTTTTTATATTTTGTCTTATAAAGTTTTAAATTCATTTTATATCAGGGGAAAAATATGCTTGCAAAGTATGGACAATATTTAAGTGTATTTATTTTCTCTCCTCAGTTTGTGCAGATTTCATTAAGCATGGTGTACAAAGTTCTAAATATAAACACATTCCTAATGCAAAGGTATGTACAGCCACTTGAAAAAAATGCATCGTTTAGAGTTTGTTTCACGATACATACTAGAATGCCACAAACGTCGTATCTTAAATATCTATACAGGCAATACTTCAACACAAAAATACACTAAACTGGTTTGTAGACCAAAGGTCTATGATAGGTGGCATAAGGAACTCTTTAATGTGCGGTGTTTGGAGCTTCCTTAATGCTAGACCTCTACCATTAAGTTTCCCTTAAGTAGAGTTTCATAGACCTTGCTGTTGTCTAAATGTTATATTAGTAGTTAGATAAATCATGCAAGAAGTTAATATTATACTTAAAATCATGTGTCCTTGACCTCTGTTTCGTGTCCTTGACATTATCTTGTACATGTAAGATTCCTCTAGGTTCCCCGCCTCACCAGAGAGCTAATCTGACCACGCCCTCAGGATTCGCCATCAAATCTTCGTCACTTCCGGGAGCGGGGATGGGCGCATGGGCGGAGACCTTTGTTCCGAAGTTCACGATCCTCGGTGTATATGAGGGACTTATTATACCCGCACTTTCTAAAGAAAGTTCGGGTATATTGTTGTTACTCATGTTCGTCCGTCCGTCCGTCCGTCTGTCACACTTTTCTTCCCTGAACTCCTCCTACATTTTACACAGTAGCTTAATCATCTTTTGGGAGATGGTTTGTGGGGTCATGTAGATGTGCAGTAAGGTTTTGGAATTTCGATTTTGCCCTGGGGGGTCAAATGGGGGTCGAAATATGACGTTTTTTGTCCAAAAAGCCCCGTCTTCCCTGAACTCCTTCTACATTTTACTCAGTAGCCTAACCAGCTTTTGGGAGATGGTTGGTGGGGTCATGTAGATGTGCAGTAAGCTTTCGGAAGTTTGATTTTGCCCCAGGGGGTCAAATGGGGGTCGAAAAATGACATTTTTTAAGCAAAAAGCTCCGTCTTCCCTGAACTCCTCTTACATTTTACTCAGTAGCCTAACCAGCTTCGGAGATGGTTGGTGGCAAACTACTAGATGTGCAGAAGGTTTTGGAATTTCGATTTTGCCCCGGGGGTCAAATGGGGGTCGAAAAATGACTGTTTTTGTCCAAAAAAGCCCCGTCTTCCCTAACTCCATCTACATTTTACTCAGTAGCCTCACCAGCTTTTGGAGATGGTTGGTGGGGTCATAGACGTGCAGTAAGGTTTTGGAATTTTGATTTTGCCCTGGGGGATTAAATGGGGGTCGAAAAATGACGTTTTTTATGCAAAAAGCCCAGTCTTCCCTGAACTCCTCTTACATTTTATTCAGCAGCCTAATCATCTTTCGGGAGATGGTTGGTGGGGTCATGTAGATGTGCAGTAAGGTTTTGGAATTTTGATTTTGCCCCGGGGGATCAAATTGGGGTCGAAAAAATGACGTTTTTTATGCAAAAATCTCCATCTTCCCTGAACTCCTCTTACATTTTATTCAGCAGCCTAATCATCTTTTGGGAGATGGTTGGTGGGGTCATGGAGATGTGCAGTTAGGTTTCGGAATTTTGATTTTGCCCCGGGGGGTCAAATAAGGGTAGAAATATGATGTTTTTATGGAAAAAGCCCCATCTTCCCTGAACTCCTCTTACATTTTATTCAGCATCCTAATCATCTTTGGGAGATGGTTGGTTGGGTCATGTAGATGTGCAGTTAGGTTTCGGAATTTTTATTTTGCCCGGGGGGTCAAATGAGGGTTGAAAAATGACGTTTTTTATGGAAAAAGCCCAGTCTTCCCTAAACGCCTTTTTTGTTTTAAACAGTGGTCTTATCATTTTTTGGGAGAGTTCACTCTTTTGAAATTTTGTTAAAACATCAAGGTCAAGGGGTAAAAAATCATAGCATGTTGGGAGCCTCTTGTTATGGGTAATGTTCACTTGAAATGTGAAAGTCAAATCTCTTCTCAATGAAAAGGAAATACAACATTAATGAAAACTAAGTTAAACTTCAAGGTCAAGGTCACAGAGTCAAAAAGTCATGATACATTTTGGAAGGTCTTATCACAGGTAAAATGAATGCCCTTTCATTTATCTTTCAAAATGATCAATTCAAAGCAATTGATTTTTTTAAGGAAATTTTAGGTCAAACTTCAAGATCATGGGTAATGAAAATCATAGTGTATGTAGAATGGTATTGTCCCATTTAATACTAATACACATGTTTAATATAAAAGTCCTATCTCTTCTCATTCAAAATATTCGACCATGATGACCAAGGTTAAATTTATTGTGACAATATGCAGATTGACAAACAAATGAGATTTAATGTACCCTACCTTTAGCAAAAATGGGAACAATAAATGTCTTTGCTGTTCTTGAGAAGAAGATTTATGTTGGAACAAGATGTTTTTGTGAAACACGACGTGCCCGGTGGCAACAAAGTTAAAAAAATCTTCTTTTAGCATATTGATCACAGTCAAGGTCACAAGGTCATTGACCATGGTGTCATTCGAAAGAACTTAATCAGTGGAGTATGAGTACTAAATATGAAGTCCCTATCTCCTATGGTTCAAAAGTTGTGACAAAAAGAGTAAAAAGCTATTTTAGCATATAGGTCACAGTCAAGGTCACAAGATCATTGACCTTGCCGTCGTTTGAAAGTACTTTATCGGTGGAGTATGCATACCAAATATGAAGTCCCTATCTCCTATGGTTCAAAAGTTATGACAAACAGTGGAAAAAGCTATTTTTAGAATATAGGTCACAGTCAAAGTCACAAAGTCATTGACCATGGTGTCATTTGAAAGAACTTAATCGGTGGAGTATGCATACCAAATATGAAGTCCTTATCTCTGATGGTTCAAAAGTTATTGCAAAAAGTGTAAAAGCTATTTTTAGCATATAGGTCACAGTCAAGGTCACAAGATCATTGACCTTGATGTCATTTGAAAGGACTCTATAAGTGGAGTATGCATACCAAATATGAAGTCCCTATCTCCTATGGTTCAAAAGTTATGAGAAACAGTGGAAAAAGCTATTTTTAGCATATAAGTCTTAGTCAAGGTCACAAGGTCATTGACCTTGAGATCATTTGAAAGGACTTTATTAGTGGAGTATGCTTACCAAATATGAAGTCTCTATCCCTTATTGTTCAAAAGTTATGGCCAAGGTTAAAGTTGACAAACAGACAAACAGATAAACAGACAAACAGACAAACAGACAGGACAAAAACAATATACGCCTGGGATCTATCGATCCGGGCGCTTAAAAAGTACCCTGCATATTTAAATGTAAATTGGTTGAAATTAGCCCAGTGGTTCTTAAGAAGGTAATGAGAAAAGTTTGCAGATAAACAGATGGACAACAGAAATCAGTACATTTCAGAAAACAGTATGCTTATAAATAGTTAATCAAGGTGCTTTGGGTAGCAAAATAAAGCTAAACTGGTATATCTAATTCATCCGCAGAGCTTAGTATATTTCAATATGCACAACCTTTTCAACTCTTATAATTATTTTTTTAAAATTTATATCACCATGTCTCATTCAAGGGAGAACTAGAGATATGACCAGATGTATATCTGTTGAATATAAAATATGTACATGTATTCTGTGTTTTTTTTTAGTATTTTGTTTGTTTGTTGTGACAGCAACTGTTATGGCAGCTTTTGGCAAAGGTTGAAGTTTCTCAAATGTAAGTCAAACTCCAAGGTCAAGGTCAAAGGGTCTAAATTGTTGGTATCAAAGGGAAAGTCTTGTCACAAGGAATACACATGTGAAAAGGGAGAAATCCCAAAACTTCCTCACCTGTTCAAAANTTATTGCCAAGGTTAAAGTTAAATTGGATTCAACTCTAAGGTCTAGGTCAAAAATAATTATACCTGTTGAAAGTTCACAATGATTACACATGTAAGAGCATGAAAGTCCTAGCACCACCTGTTGAAAACTTACGCCAAGTTCAAGGTATTTTTCTTGTAAAATTGGGTCAAACTCCAAGGTCAAGAGATCAAGAGGTCAAAATTGGTGGTACCCATTAAAAGGTTTTGCCAAAAGAAATTTACCTATGAAATATTGAAGCCATGTGTATAGCCCAATCCACTTAAAAAATATGGGCAAGGTTAAAGTTTCAGTGGACAGACAAAAATACATGAACATAGGAAACAAAGTATGTATAAATAGTCAAATGAAAAAATTTTCTACTATTATGGAGTCATAAGATCAATTGTCATTTCAGGTACAGGGAGTCAGTGGCTGGGGAGATCAGACCCCCCCCCCCCCTGGAATTAGCAGTTATCTAAATAAGACTATATATGTACTGTAGAGAATAAAAATGACTTTGGACATCCTCCCCCTTAGAAAACAGGGACTCCACCATCATTGTTTTTATTATTATTTTTTATTTCCATCTCAGGAAATCTTGGGCTGATTTTTTTGACTGAGGTGTGACACCCCCCCCCCCTTTCTGAAAAAAAAAAATTCTGGATCTGCGTCTGTTATATACTGAATGTCCGCAACGGGAGATAACTTGACAATGTGAAATTTGTCGACTGTGGCATGCGATGATCTTTGACCATGTTGACCCTTTTTGAACTTCAACCTAACCATTTGCATTTATTTATTTTCATGCAATCTATACTAAATCTTGTACTTACCGAATGTCATAGGTCGTGACAACGAATTCATGAAATATAATCCATATAATGCAATTAAAACACAAATGATTTTAACTGACAACACTGCATCGTCAGCATACATGTGCTAAATAATCTCATTCGACAAACCTTTGCTGATTCCGTTGCCAGTATGAATTGGCCGAGGTGTGCCGAGAGGTGATATCTATAAATATGATAATGGGTGAGGCAAACCCAATGTGAATGTAGAAAATAAAACTGTTTAGTTCAAGAACAAATTTCAAACTATCATAATAAACTAAACTATGTTTTTTAAAAATGTGAGAGTGAGAGAGAGAGAGTGTGTGTGTGTGTGTGGGGGGGGGGGGGGGGGGTAGGCATTGACAAATTAATCGGGTTGTATTTTCAATTCAATGGGTTTTTATCCCGACCAAATACTAAAATCAGTTTGCACATTTTGATAAATTCATCAAAAACGCTTTGTACTAAGCTAATATTTTATGTCGATGAGAAAGTAAATTTAAAAAGTTCCAAATTATGGGAAAATTATTTATTTGAATCTTATTAAGTAATTTACTTCAATCATTCATTAAATTCTGTTATTTCAGACTGGTTATGAATTAAGTATTTTAAAATACATATGTGAGGCTCAGAGTTGATATGGTATGAAAATTTTATGTTCAATTTGACGAATACATGTACGGTGATAATTATAGAATTATTTTGACTTCTTCCTTGGAAAGTCCAATATGAATGAGTGTATATTTAAAGGCAAACACCATAGTGCGGGTATTACTGTCTCATGACAGCATCTAGTTCACACTGTAGACAAGAAAGATGATTTCTATTCATGGCAGGTAAAATCACACAAAGAATCAAACAAAATGAAAACGAATCGCAGTTGCATATTTTAGTTACATATTTCTAGTTCCTTGTCGTTGAAACCAGATGGACTAAAAATTTCCTCTGCTTTCGTCCCTCCATGTCCGCCTGTTTATCCGTTTGACTAGCTTCTGTGTATGTTGCATGACTTTGATGAGTTATAGATGAATTTTTATTTTTGATCCACTTCAGTGATTTCTGATAAAATTTTCAATTTTAGAGGAAACCAGATTACACGGTATGGGACTAGTATTGCTAATGTAACACTCCCACAACGCTTTATTTTTTAGATTCTTTTAATCCCTAAATATTCATTACCTTAAAGTTATTTTGATCAACGTTGATCTGATTGCATCAAGTATAAAATATACAACATATTCTGAACTAAAATTCATTCTTAACCATTAGGATCTTATTGTTTTCAAAGGTAGATAAGCAGGGGACTAACGGTACTTACAACATAGATGCAGAAGATCCGGCCTGTAGTAACTGGTTACGATTCGTTAATTCTCCCGCCAAATATCAACAGGAAAATGTCGTTCCTATCACGTGCGAGGGCATCATCTTCTATATGACGTCACGTGACGTAGAACCGGGTGAAGAACTTCTGGTCTGGTATGGGGATGGATATGGGAGGTTTTTAGGCGTAAACCGCATACATCCGGGTAATGAAACAATACATTTCATGGTTATTTGTTTCCATCCGAGTATTTAAACAATCTACTTATCAGATAACTTGACCATATACAATGTGGTCATTAAAACATTTTTATGCCCGCGTGAACAAAGTTTCGGCGGTTTATAGTGTTTGTCGTGTCCATCCCTCTGTCTGTCTGTCTCTCTCTCTCTCTCTCTCTCTCTTTGTGTGTCTCTCTGTCTGTTTGTCTGTTTGTACGCGAAAACTTTAATACAGCCCATAGCTTTTGATTTAGTGGAGCTTTGACTATCATATTTCACATGTGTATTTTTTGTGACAAGACCTCTCCTAGGGTACCACATAACTTGACATTTTGACCTTGACCTAGGAGTTTGACCCAGTTTTACATAAAAATTATAACTTTTACTTTGGTCATATCATTTGAACATTGGATACCAGAGTTGTTATGATTTACATATAGTTCACATATATATTTTTGTTAAGAGACCTCTCATTGGATACCAACAACTCTGACCTTGGAGATTTTAGTACTTGCGAAAAACTTTAACATTGGCCATAACTTTTGAGCGGTAACGTCTAGGGCTTTTATATTTTACCTAATTGATCCTTGTGACAATAAATTTCATTTGATATTACAATTTTGACCCTTTGACCTTGACCTTTAAGTTTGACACATTTTTACACAAAAAATCTAACTTTTACTTTGAAACTAATTTTTTCAATGGTAGATTTTAGGAATATCATATTTTAAATATATTATTTATCATAAATAACCTGGCCATTACATTCGAATTGTAAGATTTAGGTCTTCCAAACTTCTATTGCATGTTGT